AGAGGGGTTACAATTACATGGGCAAGATAATGAGTACATTTCTTATCAAGCATTGTAGCCTCCTCCTTTGTTTCCCCTTCCCATCCCATCCCATCCTCCCCCCCCACCCCTCCACCCATTCCTCCCCCGCCACCAAAGTTGTAAAGTTCATTTTCGACATAATGACTTGTACATCTCATTGTTGCAATGGATCCACCTGAATCCCTATTGAAACAATTTGTTTTTTTCCCTTCCCCTCCACAAATTATACCAACATCAAATACAGTGAAAGCAGGTAACCAGCCATTTTTGAAATATGTATTTTTTATTGGGCTGAATAAAGAAAGCAGATAAGACTAGTACTAGTGGCCACAACTGTAATCCTAGGTACTCAAAAGGCTAAGATTCAAATATTGCAGTTCAAAGAAGTCAGCTTGGGCAGAAAAATCCATGAGACTCTTATTCTACAATTAGCTACCAAAAACCAGGAACTGGAGCTGTGGCAAGTGGTAGAACACCAGCCTTAAGCAAAAATGCGAGGTGACAGCTCCTAGGCCCTGAGTTCAAGCCCCAGTACCAGCACACACAAAAGAAACACACAGAGACAGAGAGAGAGAGAGAGAGAGAGAGAGAGAGAGAGGAAAAGGAAAGAAAAGAGAGCCAGGTACCGTGGCTCGTATCTATAATCCTAGCTACCCAAGATGCTGAGCAATAAGGATCACAGATCAAAGCTAGCCTCAGGCAGAAAAGTCCATAAGACTCTTATCTCCATTTAACCACCAGAAAACCACAAGTGGAGCTGTGGCTTAAGTGGTAGAGCCCTATCCTTGAATGAAACTGGTAAGAGACAGCACCCAAGCCCTGAGTCCAAGCCAGCCCCACAACCAACAATAAAAAGAGAAAAAAAAATGGTTTGTGCATGAAGTTATGAAGACTCATAAGAGTACTAGAAAAATATTAAAAGCTGAAAAAAGTCTTACAAATCAAAGTGGTAATAAAAAGAAATAGTCTAGTTGTTCCACTAGCATAGAAAATTTCAGTTTCGGGGCTGGGAAGATGGCTCAGTGGTAGAGTGCTTGCTTTGCATGCCTGAGGCCCTGGGTTCAATTCCTCAGCACCACATAAGCAAAAAAAAAAAAAAAGAAAAAGAAAATTCCAGTTTCATAGGATTCTGGCAAAAGTAAATTACTGAGATACAATCAAATCAAAATATGGTAGAGTTCATCTTTATCTGTTTTCAGAATATGTATTTTTTTTCTGTATGGCTCAAGTTACCTTCTCAACAAAATCCTTGAGATATGTTGAAAGCAGAAAGATTTAAGATAAAATTATGTTTCTGTTCTTTATAGACCTAGGCCCCATGAATAGATCAGCATCACACATTGTAACCGAGTTTATCCTCCTGGGGATCCCTGGTTGCTGGAAGACCCAAATTTTCCTCTTCTCGTTGTTCTTGGTGGTTTATATCTTAACTTTGGTGGGAAATGGAGCCATCATCTGTGCAGTAGTACGTGACCGACGACTCCACACTCCCATGTACTTTCTGCTGGGAAACTTTGCCTTCCTTGAGATCTGGTATGTTTCCTCCACTGTTCCCAACATGCTAGCCAACATTCTCTCCACAACCAAGGCCATCTCTTTTTCTGGATGTTTCCTCCAGTTCTACCTCTTCTTTTCACTGGGCACAACTGAATGTCTCTTCCTAGCACTCATGGCTTATGATCGGTACCTGGCCATCTGCCACCCCCTGCATTACCCTACTACCATGACTGGGAGGTTCTGTGGCATTCTGGTGTCTTTGTGTTGGCTCACTGGATTCCTTGGATACCCAATTCCCATTTTCTTCATCTCCCAACTCCCCTTCTGTGGCTCTAATATCATTGATCACTTCCTGTGTGACATGGACCCATTGATGTCTCTATCCTGTGCCCCAGCTCCCATTACTGAAACTATTTTTTATGCTCAGAGTTCTCTTGTCCTCTTTTGCACTGTTATGTACATTCTTCGGTCCTATATTCTGTTGCTTAGAGCTGTTTTTAAGGTTCCTTCTGCAGCTGGCCGGCAAAAGGCCTTCGCAACCTGTGGTTCTCATTTAGTTGTGGTGTCTCTTTTCTATGGCACAGTCATGGTAATGTATGTTAGTCCTACATATGGAATCCCAACATTGATGCAAAAGGTCCTGACACTTGTTTATTCAGTACTGACTCCTCTCTTTAATCCTTTGATATATAGTCTTCGAAATAAGGAAATGAAACATGCCCTAAGAAATGTCTTCATTAGAATGAAAGTTAGTAAAAATCTATTTTAAAAATATGTCAGCTGGGTGCTGGAGGCTCACATCTGTAAGCCTGGCTACTCAGGAGGCTGAAATATGGAGGGTTGTAATTTGAAGCCAGCATGAGCAGAAAAGACCACAAGATCCATCTCCAATTAACCAGCAAAAAGCCAGCCTGGAGTTGTAGCTAAAGTGAGAGAGGAGTTACAAGAGTGAACAAACAAGCCAAGTAAGTGTGAGCCCTGAATTCAAGCCCCAGTACTACACCATGCTTACAAGTTCTAGTGAAAAACAAGTCGGAGATGTATCAGTTCCTTCCATGGTCTTCTCCTCCTCGTTCTTAGTAGTTAGAGGTCATGTGTTTTACCTGGAACTGGGGCCCACCTTTTGGTATTGGCTATTTAACCTTAATACACTGAGCATTTTCAACACCCAGTGAAACTCTTCCAAAGCCTGTCCTTTTGGGAAGGATGAATTGGGATATGAGATGCCCTCCCACTGAGATTCCCTGGGTCCCATCATTCCATCATTACACATCTTCAGCATAGCCCTAATACCTTAGTTCAACTACAGATACAATTTTTACATCCAGGCTTTAAAATGTTTTTGATCTTTTTTCATGTAAATGTATTTTAAAGCTATTGCTTTAAAAGTGTACATAGTATATGCACATGTGAAGTACTATGATAAAATCCTTTGGTATAATAAAAACACACTAAAAACAAAAACAAATGACAGAAAATCAAAATAGACTGGGATACATTTTAGGAGAGGAAGGCTGTGAAGGTGGCTCAGTGGTAGAGTGCTTTCCTTGCATGCATGAGGCCCTGGGTTCAATCCTTAGCACCACACAAACAGAAAAAGGCAGAAGTGGCGTTGTGGCTCAAGTGGCAGAGCACTAGCCTTGAGCTGAAGAGCTGAGGAACAGCGCCCAGGCTCAGAGTTCAGTCCCCACAACTGACAAAAATTAAAAAGAAAGAAAGAAAAGAGGCAGGGGAGAACTAATGGAGAGGATGAATAAGGATCAATATAATCAAAGACGTTTGTTTACATGTATGAAATAAAACAATGATAAACTGGACAGGTATCTGTCTATCTGTCTATCTGTAATCCTTAGCTACTCAGATGGCTAAAATCTGAGGATCAAGGTTCAAACAAAGCTCTCACAGAAAAAAAATCAGCAAAAAGTTGTTCTGCAAGTATGGGTCAAGTGGTAGAGCTATAGCCATGAGCAAAAATAGCTGAGTGAAAGTGTAAAGCTCTGAGATTATGTGGTTATATCCTAGCATTATGTGGTTATATACTAGCATATAAAAGAAACACAGAGTGGGGGAACCTGGAACAATGAAATCTATTGAAATTGTTTTAAGAGGGGAGAAGAGTAAGAGTGATACAGGGTCAGTGAGTTTTATCAGAATACATTGTGTACTTGTATGGAGACGTCACAATGAAATTTCCTTTGTACAATTAATGTATGCTAATAAAAATAATTGGCTAGGCGCCAGTACCTCATGATTCTAATCTAGCTATTTAAGAGGCTGATATCTGAGGATCAAAGTTGGAAGCCAGCCCAATTAGAAGTTTGTGAGGTTCTTATCTTCAATTAATCAGAAAAAGCTGGAAATAAGCCAGGTGCTAATGGCTCACACCTGTAATCCTAGCTACTCAAGAGGTTGAGATTGTGGTTCGAAACCAATCTGGGCAGGAAAGTCCATGGAATTGTTATCTGTGGCTCAAGCAGCAGAGCACTAGACTAGACTTGAGCAAAAAAGCTCGGGGACCATGCCCAAACCCTGAGTTCAAGACACAAAACTGGCACCAAAAACAACAACAAAAGTAGAGGTGTGGTTCAAGTGGTAGAATGTCAGCCTTGCGCAAAATAAAATCTGAACAAGAGTGAGAGGCCCTGAGTTCAAGTCCCAGTACTAGTGCAAAAATAAATAAACAAAAATAAATGTGTATATTGATGGAGTGATGTGTGCTGTTTTAACATATATACATTGTATAAATTTTGAGTTGTTTAAATGTATCTACTTCTTTTCCATTCCCTCTGTACATTATCTTTACAATAAAATTATTTTAAAAATGTAATTAGGTGTGATACATTGGATGTGATACTAGAAACTCAATACCAATTTACAAATAATGCGATCAGAGCCTTGGAGAAAGGGAAATAAAAGTTTGCTAATTTTGCCAGGCAAAATGAGGATTGGAGCTATTAATTCCAGTCCTCATAGTCCTGACTCCTTGTAGGACATACTAGTGTTGGGGAAGGATAAATTTTATAACAAAGTCCAGGAGCATGGGCTTCAGAACTGTGGCTAAAGCATGACTTTGGGCACAAGGGTGGCCTTTGGCCTGCTCATTTCTTGATATGCTTGTATTAGTCCCCAGAGCTATGTTTCTTGTTGACCCAAATGTCCCTTGACTCTCCTGATCAGTATAAGGAGAAGAATTTTCCTGGAATTGTCACCAGTACCAGATGAGAGTTTGTGAAGTTTCCCTCTAGAAATTGAAGCCCTCCACTTAGGGTCCCTGGTCCTTAACTTTGATCACAGAATAAGAATTTCAGGACAAGTCACAATAGTAAGAAAATTTGGCAGAACTTTATTGAGTAAGCAAGCAAGTAGGCAAGCCAAAGGGCAGAGGCATGCTCCTAACAGATACTGAGGGGGCTCAGAGGGAGACTCACTGAGCTCTTGGACATCAGGAATATATATGATAAAAGGCAGGGTTTGACTTAAAGTTATTCTAGGATAGATGTTTCTCTTTGTTCTCATACTTCTCACATTTAATCACTTTTTTTTTTTTTTTGCGGGTCGTGGGGCCTGAACTCTGGGCCTGGGCCCTGTCCATCAGCTCTTCAGCTCAAGGCTAGTGCTCTACCACTTGAGCCACAGTACCACTTCCAGCTTTTTCTGCTTATGTGGTGCTGAGGAATTTAACCCAGGGCCTCATGCATGCAAGGCAAGCTCTCTACCACTGAGCCCCCTTCCCAGCCCCACATTTAATCACTCTTGATGTTACACTTTTATTACTTGGGCTCAAGGTCTCTAAAACTAACTTACTATTTGAACTTTGATCATTATGTTTGGGCATTCTTTCTTTGAAAGTTCATGAATGTCCTCCCTTGAGATAAAAACTTTGTGCCAGGAGGAGTTATTTTTTCCATGTCTTTGCTTTTCCAGGACACATGCCTTTCTTTATGTCTTGCTTAATTGTCAGAACACACTAATTGTTTTGGGCCAGCAGACAAGGTCAGATGGAGAAAACTGTTCATATTCTTTTCCTTTCCCTTGTATTAATACTGCAGCTTATGGAGGAGTGTAAGGGTTAAAGCAGAGAGCTCTCCTATGTTCTAATAGAATTACTCATTAAATAGTGTTTATTTCTGATTTCCCCATGGCTGCCCTTTAATAACAATGCCCATTTTCCCTAATCTATCTTGTCTCAGAGCTATGAGGAAGGACATCCTTGAATTCCCTAATTTTTCAGAGAGAGGGGAGATAAAAGAGCATAAAAAAGAGAAAACAACTGTTATTTTAAATTTATGTAACTGATAGTGTCCTAGTCAGTTAAAACCTAGAGTTGTGCTTATATTTAGGTACCTGTTCCTGGTTCTGACAAGCCTCAACAACACTGCACTAAGTGAAAAAAAAATCACATGATGCCACATGAAATAAGACAGGGAAGACCAAGTATCATATGAATTCATTTGCCTGAGAGCCTAGGTTGACAAATCCAGAGACAAAGACTGGATTAGTAGTTCGGTAATAACCAGGAGCTAGGGGAGGAAAAGAGTTACTGCTAGTAGGTGCCCAGTTTCTCTTGAGGGTAATGAAATCTAGAAATGAATAGTTGTGATTTTGTTGTGAATATACTAAAAATTACTGAGTCATGTGCTCTCAAAGGGTGAATTTGGGGCTGAGGGCATAGTTCAAATGGCAGAGAGTTTACCTAGCTCACAAAGGCCTGAGTTTGGTCCCCAGCAACACACACATAGAAGAGTGAACATTTCATTAGAGAAATTCAGATCAGACCACAAGGAGATTTCATCCCATAGCTGTTAGGAAAGCTACTATCAAAGCAGAAGATGACAAGTAAGTATTGGCAGTGTTGGAGAAAGGGGAGCACTTGTACCCTGCTGGTGGGAAAGGAATCTGAAGCAGCCACTATGAAAAACTATTAGTAATCCCAATTCAAGGATTCCAAAGGAATTAAATCACAATCTCAAAGAGTTGTCTTATCTACATTTCTTTGTTTTATTGGAGCAGTGTTCTCAATAGCTAAGATATGAAAGCAACCCAAAGGTGAGCCAATACCTGAATGGATTTTTTTAATGTGGTATCAACATATAATGGGCCAGGCACTAGTAGTTCATACCTGTATTCTAGTTACTTAGGAGGTCAGATCAGAGGATCACAATTCAAAGCTAGCTGGAGCAGATAAATCTGAGAGATTCATACCTCTCCAAACAGCCAACCAAAAGACAGAAGTAGAGATGTTGGTGATCAAATATTTTAATGATCAAATATTTTAGTGCCAGGCTTAAGCAGAAAAGCCAAGTGAGAACATGAGGTCCTGAGTTCAAGGCCTACTATCTGTGTGCATACACACACATGAGCACGTACACGTGCACGCACACACACACAAACACATAAACCAAACAATAAAATATTATTCAATCTTGGGCTGGGAAGGTGGCTCAGTGGTAGAGTGCTTGCCTTGCATGCCTGAGGCCCTGGGTTCGATTCCTCAGCACCACATAAGCAAAGAGAAAAAAGCTGGAAGTGGCCCTGTAGCTCAAGTGGTAGAGAGCTAGCCTTGAGTTGAAGAGCTGAGGGACAGCGCCCAGGCCCAGAGTTCAGGCCCCACGACCAGACCCCCCCCAAAAAAAATTTATTCAATCTTAAAAAGTAAGTCGATTTCAAAGACATTATGTTGAGTGAAATAAGGAAGAAACAGGATAAATACCACATATAAGAAAATATAGCTGGCTGCCAGTGACACACACCTATAATCCTAGCAACTCA